TGTTTGCTTGATATATATTTTTCCATCCTTTCAGTTTTAGCCTGTTTGTGTCTTTAAGTCTAAGGTGATCTTTTGTAGGCAGCATATAGATGGATCATGCTTTTTTATCCAATCTGCCACTCTTCGTCTCTTTATTGGTGCATTAAGTCCATTTACATTCAGTGTAATTATTGATAGGTATGATTTTAGTGCTGTCATCCTAGTATCACTTTTTGTGTGTTGTTTAGTTTCTTTGTTCTCCTGAATATTCTGTGCTAAGTCATTTTTCTTTATGTATTTTTTTTCTTCTTTTTCATTGTTGTAGATTTTGTGTTTGCTGGGTCTTTATATTTTTCTACTTTTTTATTTTGCTTCGTATGATTGTTAGATTCCTTTGTGGTTACCTAAATATTTACCCCTATTTTTCTAAGTTTATATCAGTCTTTTATTACTTTATATTGCCTTAACTTCCCCTCCATATGAAAAATCAATGTCTGCATTTTTTAAGTCCCTCTTTTTGTTTTAATTTTGTCCTTTTTTACATATTGATATCTGCTTCCCTATTTTCAATGTTTTAGCTTTGATATATTTTCGATTTCCCTGTTTGAGTCAATATCTTGTTGCTCTGTCCTGTGTTCTAGTCTTGCATTGCTATCTGGTGTTATTGATTATCTAACTGTATGACTCCCTTTACTATTTCCTGTAATTTTTGTTTGGTTTTTGCAAATTCCCTGAACTTCTGTTTATCTTTAAATGCCCTAATTTCGCTATTATATTTGAGAGACAGTTTTGCTGGATATATAACTCTTGGCTAGCAGTTGTTTTCCTTCAAGTCTTTCTATATGTCATCCCATTGCCTTCTTGCCTGCATGGTTTCAGCTGAGTAGTCTGAGCTTATTCTAATTGACTCTCCTTTGTAAGTGACTTTTCTTTTATCCCTATCCACTCTTAAAATTCTCCTTTATCTTTGGTTTTGGTAAGTTTGATTATAATATGTCTTGGTGACTTTCTTTTGGGATCTACCTTATGTGGGGTTCGATGAGCATCTTGGATAGATATCTTCTGGTGACTTTCTTTTGGGATCTACCTTATGTGGGGTTCGATGAGCATCTTGGATAGATATCTTCTGGTGACTTTCTTTTGGGATCTACCTTATGTGGGGTTCGATGAGCATCTTGGATAGATATCTTCTGGTGACTTTCTTTTGGGATCTACCTTATGTGGGGTTCGATGAGCATCTTGGATAGATATCTTCTGGTGACTTTCTTTTGGGATCTACCTTATGTGGGGTTCTATGAGCATCTTGGATGGATATCTCTCATCTTTTGTGATATCAGGGAAGTTTTCTGTCAACAAATATTCAACAATTTTCTCTGTATTTTCTGTTATTCCCCCCTGTTCTGTTACTCCAATCACTACTAGGTTATTTCTCTTTATAGAGTCCCACATGACTCTTGGAGTTTCTTCATTCTTTTTAATTCTTTTATCTGTTTTTCCTCAAATAAGTTGGCATCAAGAGCTTTATCTTCAATATCACTAATTCTAACTTCTACTGCCTCAATTCTGCTCCTATGACTTTCTACTGAGTTGTCTGATTCTGAAATTTTATTGTTAATCTTCTCGATTTCTGATTGCTGTCTCTCTATGGATTCTTGCAGCCTATTAAATTTGTCATTTGTTCTTGAATAACTTTTTTACGTTCTGCTACTACTTTGTCTGTATGTTCCCTGGATGTTTCTGCATTCTGTAAAATTTCCTTTCTAATTTCTAGAAGAGTTCTTATATTAATCTTTTGTATTCTGCTTCTGGTAATTCCAAGAAACTCTCTTCCTCCAGAGAATTTATTGATTCTTTTTTTGGAGTGTTGCTGAAGCCATCATGGGCTGCCTGTTTATGCGATTTGATATTGACTGTTGTCTCCACACCATGAATACGTTACCATAATTTTACTTTTTATTTGTTCGGTGAGGCCTAACTTCTTGTTTTGTTTTGTTTTGCTATGCCCCAATAGGTTGCTCGTGTGTGCTGGTTTTATTATTGACACCCTTGAATCTCTAACGTCCTGTCACCACGTAGTCAGTGCTGTAACTAAGTATGTTCACACTGGAGTCTTTTAAATTTTTCTATGTGGGTTCAGCTCAGCTGTCCAGGCAGTCAGTCACCAAGTGTGTGGTGCAGGCTCTCACCCACAGTCCTAGAGAGGCATTGGTGATTGGTGCAGGCACTGGACTCTGGCTGTGATAGGGGATCATGAGCTGAGCCAGGCAGGGGGCTGACAGCTGCCCCTGGGAGTCTGAAAGGAAAGTGTGTCCTTATTCTCTAGGGTGAGTAGATATGTGAGTTTTGCAGCTGGACTATGAGCACCCCACTCTGTCTGCTGTAAAGACTCAAGGGCACCACTTTTCCATGGACTCCTGTAGCAGGTGACCAGGAGGTTTAGATGATGCCACCAGTCTTAACGCCCCTGTTGCGGATCGATAAAAGTGCCTACTTAAGGGGCAGCGCTGTTTCGAGGGTCACAAATCTGCTACTTCACAGCTGAAACATTTGAAGTTAAACTTTGAATGTTTGTGCTACTGTACTGTGGGAGTGAGGGCTAACACTGTTGAGATGGGTCCCCACAAGTTCATATGGGGGTGTAAAGCACTCAGAGTCTGTGGACCCCTTATGACTGTGCCTAGCAAAAGAGCTGTGCTGACCCTGTGTTCCTGGCTTAGAGGAGCCAGTATCTTATTTGTTCCCTGTCCAAGGCCAGAAGAATGGGTCAGGGCACCTTTTGGGATCTACTTCCAGCCCAGCGGACTCCCAGTACAGAGCATGGAGGGAGGAGGTAAAAGGGAGAGAGGCTTTTTGTTTTTTTTGTTTTTGTTTTGTTTTGTTTTTAAATCCCAGTGAAAGACCACACACATGTATTTATCTTTAGCCTCTTGGGAGCTGCTTTTCACTGGTTCGGAGTGTCCAGGCAGAATCTCTGCTGCTGGGTCTCTCTGGCTGTGGAAACTGCTTCCCGAGCACCCACACAGCACAGCTGTTTGCCTGCTTCACTGTGGACCTGGTGTGGCTGCAGAGCTGCAGTCTTGTCACCGCTCTGGCACTCTTTGCTTCTTCAAAACCGTCTACCTTTCCCCCCACCACTCAGTCCGATTCCTCAACTTTGGCTTGTTCAGGCTCCTAGATATTCATATGCAATCAAATCACTTGTTTTTCCAGGTCTTTGTTGTAAGAGGGTTATAGGAAGCCTCTGACTACACTACCATCGTGGCCACGCTCCTGATAATTATTTCTTTAAATAAACTCCCATAATGTCTAAACCAAAGTGTGAGCAGCACTACTTTTGTAATCTGTTGTTTCTGTTGCATCACGTTAATATTCATATTCTAGTTATCTTATTTTCTTGGATGTCAAGAATCTCTGAATTCTTGGTGGTATTAAGCCCTGAAAAATTATTTGTGATGTTTCCTGAAGATTTATGATGGATGTGCCCTCTTCCAAGAGGCTTCTATTTGTTGACCCCATCGGTTAGGCTATCTTAAATCAGTTTCAAGATTGGAGAGTTCCAGACACACCTAGGCCATGAACACCTGGAGTGAAACTCCTTGGAAGGTTGACCTTCACACAATTTCCCAAGGAAATATTGTTTGTTTTTTCCTTTCCACTTCCCAATGAACCTAGAGCCCTTTGATAATTTTCTAGCAGCTGTGGTAAAGGCACTTACTGTGGTTCACAATTGCTTTGAAATTAGAGGCCCCTCTTGGCCCTAGCTCAAAAGAGGGTCCCTCAGGACTCCCCACACGGGTTAACTTTGGGCCTGCCTTCCATTTCTCCGGGTCTTACATACACCTGGAATTAAATATTTAGTGTATGCAGTGACCTTCAACTCTCTTTCCGGATAGAAACAGCTTTACAGATCAGATATTTTCTGGCCGTAGATTTTTATCAAAAAGTAAACCAAAGTTCTCCATTTTCATTTCTTCTTTACTCTTATTTTTCTTTTACATATTTCCAGTATTTTGTATAATTTCACCAGGATTGTAGATCTCAGGAAACTAGCCCATCATTTATGAAATCTGAATCCATTTCAATTTTTTTTCCTTATTTTAAATAGAAGCTCTACTTAAGAGAAACTACTCTCTAGTTTTACCTCTTGTAAGTTGATATTAGACCTTCTAAGTTGACTATTTTGTCTTTTCTAGTCACAGAATTATACTTTCTGTGATGATATTTTTGGCTCTTGATTTATATTGGTTACTTTCACAAGCCACTGACCATGCAGTTTGCTTCCACATTCAATGATGGCTTTGCATAGATGCGCCAGGACCAAGCCGGCTGCTCAGACTTTATAAACGGGAATTTTACAATGTGAGCTGATCTACATCAGGCAGGTAGAGGCAGCAAGACGGTGTCACAGAGCCCAGTCTTCAAGTCCCTGTTGCTCTGGGTCTCTGCTGAGAAATTAAAAGTGTTTCAGTCCCTTTAGAGTAGTGTGTTTGTAAAAGTGAAAAATAATTTTAAGATGTAGCAGGAAATGATGGTTATTTCCAAAACTGACTCAATTATGTGTGATATGTATACCACTAAAACACACATTTAAAATGGTATTTTTTTAGTGTGCTTGTGATGAAGTGTGTATACATATGTATGGTAATTCCCCACTCTGATTGCAGGTGCCAGTGGGGACATTGTGATGACCCAGTCTCCTGTCTCCCTTGCTGCGTCTTCAGGAGAAACGGTCACCATCACCTACAAGTACAGTTATTATGTTAGCAACATCTCAGCCTGGTACCAGCAGAAAAAAAACAGGCTCCTAAATGGCTCATGTCCTGGGCATCCGACCAGGCATCTGGGGTCCCTGACCAGTTCAGGGGCAGTGGGTCTGGGACAGACTTCACTCTCACCATCAACAACCTCCAGGCTGAAGATGTGGCAGATTTTTACCGTCAATAATATCATAGCTATCCTCTCACAGTGATTCAACCTCGATCATAAACATCCTTCCCAGAGTTGGACGCCTGTGTGTCTTCACTGCACCAGCAGATTCCTTCCCACTCAATCCTGAACATTCACAATTCCTCTATCTGCCCCAGAAGCCTCATCTGCTGACCAATATCTTGGGCCATTTAGAAAATTAACAAGTGTGGATTTTTCTGAGCTTGTTTTTGTGAGACATTATAGAAGAAAAATGCTTTAACATTTCTTACAGCCTTTGTCTTGTCAGGAGTTTCCATATCACAGAAACCTGCATGTTTCACACAGACAGATCACTTGACTGATATGGAGAAGTGTTCAGTGTGTGTTACAACCAAGAAGACCAATTCTCTCTTCCCCGTATCTTGACTCTGGAACATTCCCATTTTAATTCCTTATCTCTGACTTTTTCTTTCTCTGTAATTACCCCTTAACTCTGGACTTTTTCAAGATTAAATATTTGACCCTTCAAGTTTCAAAACTCCCTCATAGAAGGTAGTATTCTTCTCTTGTTTTTATCCTTCCACAAATCCTGTTTTCCAACCAAGTCTTTCTGGTCAACGTCACTGAAGGTGTTTTTCTGCTTTACCTCCTTTTTTATTTACTTTTCTCTTCTCTCCATTTCTTTCAGTGACATTCATTCTCTCAAAAGCAAGTGTCTAGGAGAGATTCCGGCAAAATGGTACTCTAGGCAAAAGCACCACGCCATTCCTCCACAGCAAAGATCTGAAAAACTAAGCCGAACAGAGAATACAACAATCCTGAAACCCTAAAACATCAAATGAAGAGATAAAGAACTCAGCCAAGCACCAAATGGTGTGATAAAACTGACAGAGAACGGAGAGCAAGGAGAGATTCATGCAGAGGTCCCCTACTAGCTAACGCAGCATGCATCTGCCATCTTGGACTCCTATCAGAGACCAGCAAACAGGGGGTATGGGAAAGCAGCCTCATGGAGCAACCAGCGGGAGATAAAATGACTGGTAATTTGTGATATATGCTTTCCCAACCCCCACCCTTCTTCACCCCAACTTGGCCTCCTCTGCTTCCCGTGGCCACAATCTCTTGTCTGGGAAGCACCGGCTGCTTGGATTCCACACACCTGAACGGGCTAGCTCTCTGAGTGCCATTTGTTGGCTGCTGGTGTTGCTTTTTTCCACTTCTTTTGACTTCTTCCTTACCTCTCACCACCTCCCCTTCTTTTCACTCAAATACTTGATTCCGTGCACCATCTTTGCTTCTTCTTGAGGGGTTACGGAGCTCCTTTCAAGTGTGGAGCTACTTCGCTGTCTGGGCTGTCACGCTGGTGGGATCCGAGGGCTTTTGTTTGTTTGTTTGTCTTGAATTGTTTGTTTGTTTTCTTTCCTTTTCCTGAGTTGGGAGCCCTTTCTGGCCAGGCAGTGCTGCATGACAGGGTACATCCCCCTCCGCTCACACAGATGTGCAGAGGGATCCCTGAGAGTATTTTTTTTGTTGTTGGCTTTTTGTTTTTGTTTTTTTTCTGTTTTTTGGGGGGCCTTTCTTGTTCTTTTATTTTTTTTTAATTTGTTTTGTTTTCTTTTCCTTCTTTTTCCCATTTTTTCTTTCTTCATTGCTCAGTTTCTCGTCTCCTATATCTTCCTTCTCTTTCTGTTGCCTGGATACCTGCCGTTGTATACCTCTACGCCTACTAGCCAGACTGTACTGCAACTTCTGAGAGCTACTTCCCCAGACCTCATAGCTGCACAAGTGGGATCCCTGGGAACTTTGTGGTTCTTTAACCTTTGTGATTTTTATTTATTCACTCTTTTGTTCCTCTTCCCCTTTCTGTATTTCTCCATTTCATATTCTCTCATCTCTCCACTCTAATGGCAAGCGACCCTAGCATTCTATTTTGTTTGTTTGTATCTTTTTGGTTCCTGTTCTTCTCTCCTCTCTCCCATATCCATCTTAGCTCCACACATAACAATCTCCCCGCTACATCCTTCCTAACTGCACCGTGTGCTTGACATCACACCACCAAGCAGCACTGGCATGGCCTACTGGAACCGGCACTGCACTGATTACCAACCCACTCTGGTGGCTATAGTAAATGTCACAAACAACCCATCCCAGTAACTCCTCTTCAGCTAGACCTGCCCCACCGTACCATATCTGAGTGACTGACCCAGACAATTGGAGAAGGAGGTGAACAGTACTGTGCCCACAGATGAACAAACAACAAAGAAAACACAGTCCGCCTGCTCAGACATAGTCAAATTAAAAAACAAAAACAAAAACAAAACGGACAAAACAAACAAATCTACAATCCATAAATGAGAAAAATAACAACTGAATGCCCCAAAGACAGCAGACAATATCAGAACATGTACAAAAACAGGAAAGGATGGTTCCAGTAGGTATCCAAAATAAAACACCAGATGACTCTCCAGAGGAAGAAAATGCACTAGAACTACCTGAGAGGGAATTCACATCTCTAATACTCAGAATTCTTCAAGAACTGAGGCAAAAAGCTAACAAACATGAGGAAAAAATTGACAAACTCATGGAAAATACAGACAAAAAATTGGAAGAATTCAGGAAGATGATGCAGGAACAAAATGCCAAAATAAATTTACAACTAGAAATTATACAAAGACAACAATTAGAAATCC